GCGATAAATTCATCACAATTTAGAGAAGAATGGGACATGATTCTTGAGTACTTATCAGTTTGCGTCCGTTCGTAGATGCACTAATCTAGAATTCTAGGAGTTAAGTTTGAATAAATTCTTCGTGCTGCAATAAAAGTTGACATATCAAGAATAAAAATTATTTTGTTCAATCGAACAGTGAAGTAAAAGCTCTAAGAGCGCAAGAGCATGCCAGAGATAGGTTTTTTGAAATATCCATCGCGATGCGGCACGGCAGCGGTCGGTTTTCAACCGTGATGGATATCTCTGGAGTATGTTCGTTTCGTTGATTAGACAAGACAAAATATGACACTTATTCTGGAAAAACTTCTGTTAAATGTAGTATTTGATGCATTGTGCTAGTTGATTTACTTATAGCGTCACCTTTCTGATGAGTTCTAATTTGGCAGTCTTTAACAATTTAAATGATTATTCTATCCGTCATAATATCTGGTTGTCTAAATCTAGGGTCAACATGAATGCCTAACGGTTCATCTTGGAAACCATGAACTAGAGTTCTGCGGGAACGACTTTTCCCCGTATTTTCCCGTGAAGACTTTTGCACGGGAACATGGGAAACGGGAACAGCGTTATAAATTGTCATCCCTGAAAGCTTTTCTATCAGATCTATATGAATTGAAATATATACATATCTACATCGTGGACATATTATATAATCAAGACCTTCATTTTCATAATAAACTTTTGAATAGTCTGTCCAAACTTCACTTTTAGCATTTGCTGGTTTTGGAAACGAAATTGATGGATCATCTGATGTTACTAATGCTTGAATTTCAAGTTTAGATAACGTTGATTTAGGTGGTTGTGTTCTTGACATGTATAAAATTTGATGCATATAAAGCTCAACGAAAGAAAGTGAATTGGTTGGAAGTGGAAATTCTAGTTATGTAAATTATCAGACGAATATCCAATCGTAAATTTATTCTAAATTTATCCCATGGCACATTGTGAAACACCTGATGTCGCGATCACCCAGCATGGGGTACAAAAACAGGCCTTTTAATCAAACACAATGAAATGGCCATATAAGTTATAAATGGGTTACGGGAACGGGGACCGGGAACAATAAAAGTTGTTCTCGCAGGACTCTACCATGAACCCATTCAAACACTCTAGTACATGATGAAGTATTGTCACTGTAAATGATCATCAAACATTCATAAATGTTGGATGATGATTGATTCTCTCATGTTGCTTACATGTTGACTTGAGAAAATGATAAAATCTTGATTTTTCTTTTAAAAAATGGAACATGAAAAGCTATACAAAAAATGCATAAGGAAATCATTATGGACAAACTATATAGTACTGCGATTTCCCAGCACAATAACAGTGCTTGCAAGTTGTTTTTGTTTTTTTTATATATCTTGAGGGTGCGGGTGTGGGTGTAGATGTTTCCTTCACGCACACCCACACCCATCTTGTAGAGAAAAAATTTCTCTATCGAACTGGTAACGCCAATATTTTGGTTCATCGCAACTTCTTGAGAAAAGTTTTCAAACAATGTTTTTTCTGGTGAATTGAATGAATCATATAAATTTCTTCAATTTTTCCTATGAATTCAGATGCAGTTTTTCACGAGGAATCTGCATATGTGGTTGGTTTTAAAATTCGAGTGAAGAAAGAGGGACTTTTATCGTTTTTGTGAAAAGTGCCTTTTTTGTATTTGACCTATATCTTCGCGAAAAAATAGTTTATTTTGGAAAAGTTTATTATCGAAATGACCAGCGAAAAATTCTCTACAAACTCTGAAAGTTTCAAGAAATTTGAACGTGGTTGCCAGATGAACCTGGCGACTTCTGGTGGAATGACCCTACAGTCGTTACAAGTTCTTAATATTTCTCTCTTCAATGTATTATGAATATGATTGAAACATAAAATTCACCTATATGATAAAAGACATGGTCTATACTTGTATTTTAAATTCTGTACGAGTTCAATATGAGAACTACTATGAATTTGTATCATATTAATTTATATTTGTTTTGTTGAAACAGGTATCGTTTTGCAGCTGATGTTCGATACGGCATATTCTCTTTTTTGAATTGTCTGAATAATATTATGTAGAGAACATTCTTAATCCTGAATAGAAATCAAATGAAGTCTGAGATTACTAGTAGAACACATATATTTTTGTTTTTGAATCAGTTAATTTTTTTTCTAAAGTTCTTAAATAAAAATGTCACTGTTCTGTTGAAATTGAGGAAAGTTTTTCATTTGTATTTATCTTATTCATCTTGAATTCTAATGTTTTCTTAATTGAATGATTCCATTCGTCCAAATTGAATTGATATTCACATTCTGTAAATGCGTAACCATTGATTTCCATGGGATTTTTACCAAATAATTTTAATCCAGCGGTTTTCTCACACCATCCTCTCATTTCTTCATTTTTTTCATCAGTATACATAACGATTTTATTGATGCCAAGCTTTTCAAATGCAAAAACAATCGTAGTATAAAGAGCTTCTGTTGCATATCCCATTCGAGTTGTATCTCTATGTGTTATGATTCCCAAGTAGCCAGTATTACCATCAATTTTAACAAAACCAGTTGTCCCAATACACCGATCATTTTTCTCATTGGATGCTGTTGCTAATAAAACGATATTCAAGACACAGCTTTTTCCATTTGTCCGTGCTTCAGTCTGTACTTTAACTCGATCAAGAAAATCTTGTTCAGTCCATTGTTTATTGTTGTTTCGTTCTCTTTCATCTCCCCATCCATTGGGTGGTTGCAGAAAAGAAAGGTGCCTTCTTGAGAATGAATCTGAAAACACTAATGCAAGATTGGCAGTATCATCTTCATGATGAGTTCGTAGAATAAGTCTGCCAAGATATGATGGAATTGTGACAGAATTCGTTTTAACTATTTCATCGAAACAACTAACACTTACAGAATTTGATGGAAACATTTTACGTGAATTGAAAACTTTGGTGAAATAGTATTTATTTTACTCAAGAATACAGTAGTAATGTTAAAATAGAATTGTAAAGACTACCTTCACAAAATAACGAGTACTTGTGCAAGTAATGTTGACAGAGAAAACGATATTGAGTCATTCAAACTCGAAAGATAACAGATTGTATTTTAGCCTTGGTTTCCAGAGAAAAACAAAACGCTGCTTAATCAATGAAAAATACCTTTGATAGTGATGAGAGTTGAGAATAGAGTCGATGTTTTCTTATGCATGTTATTTCAATTAAACAATGATATTAATAGAACATGGATTCGTTTTTTTCTCAGAAAATAACCATCGATGTGTCTTATTCTTCAACGATTTTAACCACTTGCCATCTATTTGAGATTGTGCTAAACTATTAAATAAATTTAACATGCTGCTATTTTTGATAGAACGATGTCTTACAATTTCGTTGGTTCTGAGATCAATTAGTCCTTTGTGAAAAACGTGATATCCAATTTTTGAATCATAAAGAACGATTTGATCAAAGTCAGTCGAATTAAATCTTACTGTAAATATTCAAAAACATCTGTTTTCTTTTTTGTTCTCCTTGCAATGTCGATATATTTATTCGTTCTTTCAGTTTCTGATGGAGCATCAAGACTCACCATTGGATTAAGTGTAACTCTATCACCACATTCTATTCAAAATAACCTCACACAATACAATATTAATGTTATTACTTTTCATACATAAACTAAGTGTTTAAAGTATGATATTCTTACAAGTTTCAAACCAAACGATTTAACTTCAGCTAATAATACGAATAATAATTACTATCAACGCAATCTAACATTCTAATTCTAGTCAACTATGAACTAGAGTACCATAACGAAGGCCATACGTTTTTTTTTTGTGAACCATCTGATTATTATTTTGCACAGGTGTATACAGGATTTTTCAGTGGGAGATCAAATTATTTCAATGTGATTTCAAGCTTAGAACTAATAGGAAAATATTTTGAAGTTTCAACACGTAAATATAGTAGATAGTTATTACTTCAAGGAGGCGACAGGCAATTCTAGTCTTCTCTAACTATACTTTTTGCCGGCATCACTTACAACGAGAAGTGTTTAAATTCATCGTTTTACATGAATAATACGTGAGCATTGTGTTCTACGAATGGTGCTATCATCGCAATTCAAATATAATGGATCTAATTAATTTTTCAAATACTGAAAATCAACAAACAAAATATATTGAATAAAGATGAAAGTTTCATTTGAGAACCAAGATATCACTCTAGCATTGATGGTGCGAAAAGCAAAACTAGAATAGCAGAATGATCAATTGCAAGATTAGATGGTTGTTTTGAATTTCTGTAACCTCGTTCTCGTTTTCTGTTGTTAAAGATCCAAAAAGGTTTAGAAAGTATTGAAGATACAAGTAGTAATGGTAATTATAAGATTTTTCATTCGTTCATGTGTCATGGTACTTACACCTTCATTACGTTGCATATCTCCTATATGTTTAGCAAGAAGTTTTGACAATTCAAAGAAGTCATCATAGGATTAGTTTCATCTTTTAATAGTTTTTGTTTTTATTTTTTAATTAATAATACCTTTAATCCAAGTTAAATAAGCTGAGACTTTGACATAAATATTTGGTGGAAAATTTTCATTTGTTTTACAATCATCGACAAAACTAGCTACACCTTGCACAACCCATTGATCATTATAATTTTGTAACAGAGGACCACCACTATCACCTTGACATGCTGAATCGCCAGAAACCGTTTGCGCAACACAGATTTGATTTTCTTCATCGAATAGATTCCAAAATCGCTCACACTCACCAATAACTTTAACTTGAGCTTGTTTTAATTCATCATATGGATTTCCACCCATTTGTTCAGCTCCCCATCCGATTAGAACCACATCAGAATTAGACGGAGGATCAGGACCCGGTAAGCATGCCGGTTGAACATATTGATTAAATTTTACGGGTGTACTCAATCGAAGAATAGCCAAATCATTTGCTAATGTTTCACTATTCCAATCAGGATGTGAAAATATGCGAGCAACTTTTTTTTCTTGCCTTGTATTTTTTTCGCTAAGTAGTCTATTATGAATACCAGCTGTAATTAGAATATGTTCAGGAAATTTTCCTCTGATACAATGCGCTGCTGTCAGTACATGGTATGAATCAAGTAAAGTACCACCACAAGTCTCTACGCATATTCTATTTGTTTCACATGGTTTTCCTTCTTCATACAAAACTTGCTAATATTTGAAAGGCAATAGATAGATATACACGAAGACTTTTTTCTTAAATTCTAACTTACCCATGGCCATGAATGCGGTACAGCACGTGACCCACCAAAAATACGTGCAATTCGCAATAATGGTTTTATTTCTGCTCGGCCACATGTAGGATTATTGATTGGTGGTGGTCTTGTTGTCGTGGTTGTTATAAACTCAGCATTAGGACAGCAAAATCGCACTTGAAAATCAATACCAGGAGTACTCGAGATGCATGCAATAATCATGCCATTCATTGTTTTCCAAGATACTGCATAACTAACATCAACTTGAAGTACACTTACTGTTTTTGCTTGAATACCTCTAGGCTTCGGACATACATCATGACCATTTTTTGCTTGAATTACAGCGAGAAATTCTTGATCAATATCTTTGTTATCCTTTGGTTTAAATGAGTTAAACCATTTTGTCCATGAAAAATCACCTACACAAGCTGATGCAGTTAAATTGTTCGGATAGAAAAAAGATATCGAGGGAATAGCTTGTATTAATGAACTACACAAGCATGTAGATATAATCAGTAAAAGTATCATCATAAAAGAAAATGAATGTCGATATCTGATTTTGTACAAAAACAAAAATGATGATAATTGCAATGTAAAATGAAACCACGATGCCGCCAATCGAGCTAGATTAGTGTTTTATATTTGTATTGAATATTGGCAAAAACAGATTTTATGCGTCATACTACAAATATGTTTTTAAATCATTCTGATAAAAAAATTAAATCATTCAAAAAGAAAAACATCGTTTTGCTTATGATGTGAAGAAAATCAATCCGTAGTTTATTCTGCCAAGGGATTTTCATATCCAAGAAACATATTTCCTTCAAGAATGATGACTTAGTTCATCTCCTTCAGCATCTTGATTTTCAATTGGCTGTTAACATAATTGAAATACTAGCAAGACGTGGCATCAGATATTTCTTTGTTTTATACATCAAAATGATGCTTCACCTTACATTTCAAGAATGTTTTTTGAAACGAGTAACTGTTAAATCAAGGTAACTAATTTTTCTTGTTAATATACGTATTCGTTCCACAGCTGTTACATGAATAACATACTGTTTATCCAGACGAACTTACACAATTTGAGCTATCAATACTTCATTTTTGGATGAAGCGCCTTGTGTTGGTATTGAGCTTGGTGCATGATTATTTCTAAAAAGTTGTTCAGCAACCATCAATCGTTTAACTTCATCAATTGAAATTTCTAATTGATCTGTAATACCTGCCGCTATTATCATTTGAAATATTATTAATCATTTTCGCATATGGTCTTTTAATATTTGATTATTAGGAAATGATTCAACTTCGCATTTTTCAGACATCGATTGACTTTTCTGTAGATATCTTCCCTTTTCTTGATGAGCTAATAACGGTAGAAAATGATTTAAATAATGAAATAGCAGTTCGTCCTAGGCCAAGACCAAGTACGTTAAAATCAGTCCGAATATCTACAAATACGCGAGAACATTCTAATTGGACCTTACGAGCAGCTTAATGAATTCCTTCAGAATGTTGACGGTGGACTTCTTCATCACGTTTCATATCAGCATGGATAACATGTGGGACATTGAATTCAATAGTTTTATCAATCAATTCTTTTTCATATAAACCTCGTGTTACTTCTGTTGTTTCTAATACTTCAACAAGAAGATTCATAACAGCAATAAATAAATTTTCTGCACATGCGATACTTTTACACATGTTTGACCAATACGTTCTACATTAAATGTATACATATTATATGGCATATAAAATCAAAGAGTATGTTCGTACAAAATAAATGTTTTAGCGACTTGACGTCAAATGAAGAACAACATTCGATATTATTTTAAAATCAAATCTTTGTATGATATTCTTCGCTGATATTGAAATACTAAAGACTAACCATTCTATGGGTTGTATATTTTCTTTGGCATTGATTTTCTATGAATAGAACTCAAAGAAAAATTGTATAGTACACATAATGGAAAAAAGCAAACTTTCTAAAAAAACAGAAAAGTTAACGAATTAAAATGTTGATCGTTGAATGATAGCAGGATCAAATGTGTATAGTTTTGGGAAGACTTTTAGATTTATTTTTTAAATTATCCGAAGATTTAATGAACTTTATAAATCGATGCAGAGAACATCTTGTGCGTTCAATTTTGATTAAAATAGAACCTTTGAGCCATGGCAATTGCTGGAGATGAAATACATCGATGGCTGGTAATTACTCTATTATTACTCTTTCGTCTTGCTTATTATTTTGAATTCGAATATCCAAAAGAAAAAATTAAGAATGAAAGAAAGCATTCATAGAAGAAAAACAAACGATATTTGTTGGCTCGTAACACTCCTCTTTTGTTTGCTGTAATCATTTGATGATGTTTTTCAATCTTTGATTGGTAGATAGGTCGAATAGACAATAGCTGACACAACTAAATAAAACGAAAACATGTTCGAATGATGAACAATAACAGAAAAAGTAGGACAAAATTGTAGATATATCATCGACGATCGTGATGCAAATGAAACACAATCAATTCAAAGTTAAAGACTAAATGAAATTTCTATCATAGATTTCATCCAATATTGACATATACGCAATGCATAGTTTATCTCACATTACACGTAAATAATTTTAAAGAAAAAAAAGTAGGTCAACTTATACAAAATTTCGTAAAAAGACTTCTAAACAAAGCAGTACACTTCTAGTATAGAAGAAGAAATATATCTAATGAAAATTTCATAATTCTAGTGGGAAAAAAAGCATCCATGTCTGAATGTATAAATATAAGTTTTCCGTACGTGAATAGATATTATTTATACAAAAATTTAACCATGAAATAATTACAACATTAGTATGTACAAAAGGAATAATTTTCAGCTACGTATTAAAATTAATCAAAATTTTTGATAAGACATAAAATAATGTTAAATAAAAATATGTGCAATTCGATATAATAATTAATACTCTATCATACTGTTTTCATATCAACAATCGTCGAAAAAGATAAAAAAAACACATCGCTACGACTGTATTTGCTCGTCTCCTGTATAATGCACACCTTCTGGCTAAAACAGTTACTATTCAGTAGCGTGTAGACTATCGCGGTGAATGATACTATGATGGCTGTATACATAAAAAAAATATCTAGACGGCTTGCTGCTTAAATTTGATAAACAAAAGAAAATGACAGTATCATTTCTCTCATTTTTATCTTGCAAATTATCTATGACCTATATTACATATGATGCTAAAAATAACGTATACTTTATGAATTGAAATTTTCGATTTTATTCCTTGTGAAATTTCCTACGACATACCATTATGCCAATTTACATGTGAACTAATATGTAAAACAAAATTTATTTAAATAAACATATTTTCTCTTACAATAATAGTTATAAACATAGACAATCTCGATAGAACTCTTTTGGTAATAGTAAAGAAAAAAAATATACAAAGTGGTGGACATAATTTTAAGATATTTTTGTCTCTTGTATAACTCAACACTCGTTATAGTTGTCAGTTTAATTCTTTCAGTACCAGACAGAGCTCATTACGGGCTATACACTTTGAAAAAAAATAAAAAATTGAACATGATTTGAACGAGTTATGAAGAAAACCAAAATGTCTCAGCGGCCATAATTTTTAGACATTTTCAGTAATTCGCATTTTTTGACCTAACTATTTTCTTTAAAAATTGGGAATCATACATCAATCGATGCAGAATTTTTCATTCTACATTTGAACAAAGTATAATTCATTCATTAACAAAGCAGAGTACCGAAACTCAATTTCTATTGGCCACAGCTAATTGTGCTATTTTAAAATGAGTGGGATAATAAGTCTGTAAACAAACTAATGCATAAGAGAGAGAGCCTGAAAAACTGAACAAAACTATCTAGTTTTTGTGAAAAACAGATACGTTTAAGTGTGGATGTGGATGTGAATATGTGTCTTTTTCCTGTACAATCCACATCCACATCCACACTCGAATTACTGAAAATATCTTAAAATTATGTCCACCACTTCATATATATATAGAAAAAACGTGGGAAAACAAAATGCATACAATTCTTATAGTACCAACGGCAGGAATCGTAGATGTTCAACTGTAGATTCATACGTAGGTGGTATATCGGTTTGTTTCATAGGTGCTAGATAATTTATTGGTAATTCGATGTAACTATTTTCTTCCAGTTGATTCAACTCTGATGACGATTTCGTTCCGATAATAATTGGAATGCTTAGAATGATGTCATCAAGTATTCCACGTATTTTAGCTACTAATTTGAGTTCATAATGGATTTTAGTTGATATCGATAGAGTAGAACATGGTGCCATAGAATGATGTGTAGGTAAGAGATGGCCATGAGGCACACGTAAACAAAAGGTTTGATGAAATTCTGTTTCATTAAGATCTTGTCGAATCGGTAAATCCATTTGAAAAATAATTTCACAATGGGCATTTTTAGCTATTTCTCGATGTTGAATTAATGTTGCTTCAATTCTTTTGACTGCTAATCGTTTAGGATTTTCAAGGTTAACATCAAGAGAAATTGATTGACCTGGTAAAACAGCTCGCTGTTGTAGATTAGCCGTCAATTGAAAATGTTTTTGATTGCGCCGAGACACAGAAATTGATTTTTTCTCTTCATTGATATTAAAAATATTTACGTGCGGAAAAATTGTCAATGGAAAAATATGTTGTTTGCTTAATCTGTTCCGTGTTTCATCAAGAACAAGGTGTATATAGTATTTTACATAAGGATATGAACCTGTTAATGGGCCTGATGATGATGGTGGTAAATATTGAGGTAGAATGAATTCAAATGGCCAAGAAAGTTGACCTTGATGAAGAATGACTTTGGTCTACAAAAACAGTGAAACATTATATAGATGAATTCATGAATTAATTTCAATTTCAATGCCTACTTCATTACCTTTTGAGTGTTTTAAAGGAAGATGAATATCAATAAACTGTAATCGATGGTAAACTGTGCAATTTTCTGCTAGCACAGTACCCATGCAATCAGGAATTGCACATGTTTCTTGTGTTACATAGCCGAATTCGCCAATAAATCCAACAGCAGCTTTATTTAATGCGATTTTCTTGTGATTATTATGAAATGAAATAACACCAGATACTTGTTCACCAGCATAATAGAACCCATTCGAATGATTAAACGTAATACTAGCTTCAGTACTCTTGCCAATGTCCATTTTGTATTTGTATATTCGGATGTTACAGATGTGCTACTAATAATAGAGAAAAATAAATACGTAGTAATTGTTATATGTTGTGATAGGAGTAAAAAGCTATGCAGCTAATCATAGAGACGAAAACAATTTTTTATTTTCTCTACCTTCGCAATGGCTCACATCATACAGGAGTAAAAAAAACCTAGCTGTTAGATATATAGATAATTTACTCACCTTCGCATTTTTAACTGTCAATTCAATAAAACAATGAAAGCATAGTTAGCGTCTAGCTAAGAATGATTGCCACAATCTGATATTACTATGAGACGGGCCGAATCAAAAGCATGATCGATGAGAGATAAATAACGATTGAAAGTAAAGACAACACTACTGAAGTTTGGCCTATGATTTGAAAAATAATACCAGTCAACCTTATTTACTATTGGCATATATTGTCAATAAAAAAAATGCTTTACAGCCATCCTTGGTTATGTTTTCACGGATGTATTAATATGATATTCGAGCTGCATGTAGACTACTCGTTTAGCTACATTACTGCAACTTCGTTGCATTAAAATACAATCAGAATTATGATTATTGTATATGGATAAATAAAACAATATTTTCTCGAGGAGCCAGTAGGAATTTCAAAACATTCGGATAAGAGTCAAAAATGTTCTTTCTTTTCCGAATAGGGGTTCAATGTTTGTGTAGAACTTCTTTTTCAAGAATCATAAATTGAAATCTAACGGCACAAAAAATATGTTTAGACTGAAAATCATGAGGATTATTTTTGATGGATTACATGTCTTCTTGGTATAGAATTAAGGTTTGATTGTTTACTAAAAATTATATGAAAATCGACAATGTCATGCTAAACATAAAAATATAATTGAAGTTGCTTCTTAAATCGGCTTTATTGGTACTGTTTATCTTATCACAATATTTATCCATAGAGAGCATCTTAGAAAGCAAAACCATCATGAGTATGAGATTGTGTAGAGTGAGTTTTACACGTTCAAGTAATATGTTTGAAAAAAAAACATTCGTTTCTGATTTTAAGTTTATTTTTACGTGTTGAGAATCTGTTCAAACTCAATCTAAACACGCCGAAAAGACCGATTTACAAACCGTAAAGTAGAAACGCTACGGAACTGTTTAATTCATTTTCGAAAAGATTACGAAATTTTGATTCTAAACAAATATTTACATGTTTCTACAGTGTGTTGGCGACAGTAAAAAAAAATGAATGCATATTTTATACAATTTCTTGTCAACCTTTCCTTATCATATTTTGAATTACGAAACAAAATATTACACTTGTCATATTTTACATAAAAAAAAGTTCTCATTACCATAGAATCATTCAGTCAATATTGATCGTCTTGTAGCGAGTAGTCCATGGTGAATGATGATTGGAGTATTTGCCTAGATAGCTTACTCTAATTTCCATTGATTTTTTGATTGAAGATTTTTTCATTGTATCCAACAAAAGAAGGAACCTTACTGAACGATTGAATTTTGTAGAGCTTTCAAAGTTTTACAATGAAAAATTGTTGTACGAAATAAGCGCCATTTACATAACTCTTCGTTATGAAACTCGTACCAAATAGAAAAGAGATCAAGCTTTTGAAACTGTGTGAGATGTAGAATAAAATTCGTCGACATTTCTCCATGTTGTTCATCATGAAAACGCATAAAAACAGGACATCAGCGTTTCATGTATACATAGGATATCCACACTATAACTTAATAACCATATTTGGCTTCTTCTATCTCTATAACACTCACTAGTCTATGGATTCGCAGAGAATACAACTCTGTATCTTGTGAATAAAAGTTTTGTCCAAAACTCTAAAAAACAGAAAAGACATACTTGCAAGATCATTTATTCTGCTCCGTCAGCTGATAGCTGTGTATTTGAAGCAATCAAAATTAGAGTAAGATATTGAGAAAATACTATAACAATCATTCTTGATGGGCCACTCGTGACTGGTTCAATTAGTGATGCATCAATATGGCTTGTGCTCGTTATCATAGACGTCAACTTATTACACATGGGTGGTCAACTTTATTAGATTTGCATTTGCTACATAATTAGATCCGAAGTAGCATATACATTTAACTTAACTCACGTTTGATAGATCCACGACGACAAGTGATGATTTATTTTCAAAATAGATTATTCTATTTTTACTTAATTAACATAGCACAAGCATTTCTTCTAATGATAAATCAAGCAGTTTGACACAAACTAATTTATCATAGCAATTTACTGTTCATACAACTCAAGTGTTTTTGAAATAAACATCTGAAACACTCATGATATTCTATGACGTCTTGCGAGTAGCTTTCAGCATCAGAAGTGTTTTTGTTTCCAACTGAGCAGCTGAAACTGAATCATAGAAATTTTTAAAATAATAAGTACATTTTCTTCCATAAAATATCATGAGAAATCCAACCTTGACTGATTTCTTTCATAGTTGAGAAAGTTTGTCCGTGTCCAACTCTTTCACATTAGTTCATTAAAGAATATTATAGTGACTGCGACATAATATTTACATTCAAGCCTAGACATATATCTTTGTGTTACAAAACAATATTTAACTATCAATGATAAGAGAAACTGAGATCAGTGTTGATTGAATCTACATGTTTACAAATAAAACATCATCTACAGCTTGTTCGCCAATATAAGAAAATGAAATTGAACGTTTGAAGTTTAAAATAAAGTCTACTACTTTCACATGAATTTCATTTTTTTTAACTTTTTGTTAGTATTAATTTACTTGTACTTACGATTCACCTGTGTGACTTAAATCGCTATTGAATAAGTTCATATAAGTTTAACCGAAATTTTATTGTAGTTATATCTAAATGTAAGCTAATGAAAAACACGCGAGAGAAAGAAATAGTGCATCGGCATTTCTGTTTTTACATATCTGACGTATCGAGTAAGGGGAAGAAAAAAAATGAAGTAAGATTTATAAAACAAAGAGAAAATGTCAATGTTGTAAAAAACAAATCGTCAAACGCTACAAAAAAAAAGGTATGTGTAATCAATGTAGATCGACAAATATGATTAATCGATTCTGTATACGAACGATTGAAACTAATTTATCAATCGTACGATATTACGTAACATGACTTTCTATCATCCATTATTTTATCATTATTAGACTAAAACTATTTGCGCTATACGTCCATTATATTAAAGGTTTGCTTAGGGCAAATTTTTAATTCACTATGTTCGAGCACGACTTCACTTGAGTGTTTTTATAGATACAATTAGAAAATAGAAGACATTTTAATGGTTGTAATCGATAGTAAAGTTACTAGCTATAGTGTTAGTTAACCATCATGGGATATCGTTGTGATAATGTGTGTTCTAGTAATCCAATTGATAAATATCATCACAATCAATAACAAAATCTCGCATCACAAGTTTATCTTTGCTTTAATAAGTGACTTTGCAGATAAATATTTTTTTATCATCTCTACACTCTGCAAATAAAACAACTTGATAACCTTGAATCGTATTATTTAAACGTTAAAAACCTTCTGCAGCAATCATCGATACGACGAATACTTTACAGTAGATACATTTTATGTTTATTACACTGTTTCAATATAATTTTATTTCGTGTACAAAGTCTTGTCGCCAAATCGAATACAATAATAATTAAAATTACGATAAAAAAATATTATTTTTCTTTCTATTGTTTGAAATTTGAAACCACCGACTCATAGGCTGGTGGTGGTTCGTCAAAATCATATACTGGAGCACTTGGTGGAGGCATTTCAACATAACTATTTATTAGTTCGTGTTGATTTGATATTGGTTCTGTACCAATTATAACTGGTACTCGTAGAGTAAAATCAGTAAACAATCCACGTGCTTTTACGTCTAATTTAAGCTCATAATTAAAATCCACATTGATTGACGGAGCACAACATTGTGACATATATGTATAAGTTGGTGCTAAATGAACAGATGGTATTTGTAAATCATAAATTCGATCAAATTGTGTTCCACTAAATTCATGAAGATCAAGCAAATCGTTTCGAAAAATAATTTCACTATGATGAGTTTGTGCAATTTGTCGATGTTGAATTAATGTTGCTGTAATCTTTTTAATTTCACATCGTTTTGGATTTTGAAGATTAATTTGAAACGAAAGTTTACTACCAGGTACAAAACCAGCTTGAAGAAGATGTCCATCCACTTGAAGTTTTTTCCTATTGGCCTGCGCGAAAGGAACAGATTGTTGCGCAGATGGTATTTGATTGAGACTAACACGTGGAAATATTGTCAATGGATAAATTTGCTTTCTGTTTAATTTATACCATGGCTTATTGAGAACGATGCGCATGAAATATTTTACATAAGGATATTCAATTGTCATAGGAATCGATGATGGAGGTAAACATTGTGGAAGAGTAAATTGAAATGGCCAGGAATATTGACCACGATAAAGTATAACTTCATGCTAGAAACACAACGACAGTTATGAAACGTATGGCTTCAATTTTACCTGTCCGTATTGAGGTTGAACAACAGGAAAACAAACAGTCATAAATGCTATACGATGGTATTCTGTAAAAGGTTCGGCGCGATTTCTACCATTACTGTCGTGCTGCTGCTTTGTTTCTCTTGTTGTAAAACCAAGTTCACCAATAAATTCAAGAAAAATTCCATCTAATGTCAATTTCTCATGTGTGCTTTGAAATGAAATATTGCCTGTTATTTGTTCACCAGCTGAATAAAAAGAATTTGGGTGGTTAAAGTTCACTTGAATTTCGGCACTTTCATTGGCACCCATTTTCTTTGAAAATATTGATAGGTAATACAAAATGGAAAATCAGGCAGCAATTTTTTGTTATTATTTTTGAGAGGAACACGAGATGGTTAAGTAAGAAAAATTGAACCAATTGTCGACGTCATTCAATGCTCAGTAGACGTATGAGAAATAAGACTCGTGACTCTTCGTATACCTATTCTTTTTCCTACTGTTCTTTTTTCTCTTGCTTGATTTTCATCGGAAAGAAGAGGAGGCAAATATGACGATAACAATCATGGCTACAGTTAAAGGAAGGAAAGAAAAACATTAAAGTATAAAGTATGATTTCCTTTAAAAAAAGAAAGAAGTACTTTTACTATTCATCAATACAATGATCAGAATATTGAAATGTAAAAGGTTCCTTTTCTCTCTCTCTCTCTCGTCATCATCATTTGACGAAACAAAATAAAAAAATGAATACTTGCATGACAAGAAAGGACGTCGACATACGAAGCCTTATATCGGCTCACAATGGCTTTTATTGCCGGCTAAATAATATTTCGAAATATAATCATAAGTGCATGTCAACATTTTCAAGTTAGACTTGGCAGTTGTTGATTGAATCTATCAATCTTACCATGATTCATTAAAACGGTGAAAACTGCACTGTTGCAGATTCCAAAAATTGGAGATGATTCATAGATGCAAATGTACTATTTTGGTTGTTGAAATAGAATGTTACAAATTAAAATAATAGGCTTATTCATCTTGTTAGATATATATTTTGTAACGTTGTGCATTGATGTCTACTCTAATAGAGCATAACCGTTAGATTTTTTTGAAGAAACAGGAAATTATTTAGTTTACTATATAGACGTCATTGTGTGGATGTTCAATTGTAGTGAACATCAATATACTATTTGAGATCAGTATATGCATAAAAAAAATCAGATCTGCTCTTAGCTTTGCTACTGTGTTTCTATCGTTGATTACTTTTGGGGTATGATTTAAAATGAATGCTATAAAGAAATATTTGAATTTATTCAGAATAGCACTCATAACGAATTAATTTGAGTTCCTATGGATACCAGTGGATTGTAAAAAGGTATTCTCTTCGACTGTAAGAACTATTCCTTTCATCAGTAAAAATGTGTAAACCCCCCTACAGAATAGAAGTCCATGGGTGGTGTCTCCGTTCCGCAAGCTATAATTTTGTAACAAAGCATGCCCCGATGCCAGTTTTTGCGTTATTTGATAGAGAAATGTTCATCCTTTCATTTTTCATCGGTTTTAGTTCTTTTTTCATGAAGTAAACCTTGATTTTCAACGGAGAAATCTAACCCAACGGGTGGGCTTCTATTCTGTGTAGGAGTTTATGAGTATCTGACTCATTGTAATTATAAGAACATTAAAAAGAAGATAGATTCATTCCACTATAACTTGTATATATCATGACAAATACAAATTATCAAAGAGATTTTCGTATATCTTTAAATAAGTTAAAATATCAAAATACTTTTAATGAATAAAAAGAGTCCCAAAATCATAGCCGAACAGGTCGTCAATGATTAATTTTCTGTGATTTTTATTACTTATTTCGATTCTTGATATCAGCTGTTTCATACTAAGTTAGTATGCAAAAACAAGCGAATCTCAATGTCTTCTCTCGTACTGAAACTTGAAACCGACAAACTACATTGTTTAACCATTGGTCGGAGAAAAACACTATATATTTATATATTCATATTTTTTGCCATAGAAATCAAAAAAAATGATAACGATAAGTTTTCAAGCATTGCCAGAACCATAATTTTCTGTATCGATACATTAATTAAGTGGCTTCAGCAAAGATTTATATTTGAATAACAAAAAAAATGGAAAAAACGAAAAAGAAGAAAATAAGACAAAGAAAAAAAAATACAAGAACAAATAGAATAATAGATTTTCTTCTCCGAAAAAAAAGAAAGTAATCAAGCAACCGTTGTATATGTGTCATATGTAGGGAACGGGGTTTAGTCATGATTCGTTGAAATGAATGTTAATTATGTTTTGTAATGGTTATCATCATAATTATGCTAGAAATAGAAATAGAAGATGATCATTAGTCGAATGAATCCTAAAGGTTCAATATAAATATATCTTCTCCCAAAGCTTGAAGTAATGAGAAACAGAGCTTGGTTATTAAAAGTGAAAAATTTCATTCCAATGTGCATTTATTCATACTTCATTTTTGAAGAATTTTTCAGAATTTTCGCTTTACGAATTGGTTAATGAGTAGTCTAGAATGATTATTTAAAAACAAAACAAAACAAAACAATGTAATTTTCATTTTAAAACTAACAAAATAGAAATCTATATTTAAAAACTCAAGAAAACAAAGAAGTAAAACTAAGAAATTCTTTCATTCTTTAAGTATATCATAAAGCTAAGCAGGTTAGCATTTAAGCAAAGCATTCACCTCGGATACTTTCGTTGATTGATTGTCTTCATCTATATTGCTTTCCATATCTTGTACTTGCTGTTGTTGCTGTTGATCATCGTGTTGAGTCTGTTTACAGGTAAAATAACGACGAACATAATATTGAATATGAGTAGCAGGCTGATTCTGATTATTTTTTTGTTAGGCTGTTTAAGCGAATAAGCACACACACACAAGCATATACGCACAGACGAAAGGTGTTAGTAGACTTTGATGAAGAGAAAGAAGGTTCTATTAAGAATCACATACCTGTGTACTCGATGAGATGAGGGGTTTTCGATATGAAGAATGAGGTAATTGTTGTTCAGTTTGATCATCATCTATTGGTGTTTCAGGACGGTGTGAATAATCGTTTTCGTAACCATTACTTCTACTGGTAGCATATGGATGTTGATAATCATCGTCATCATCGTAGCTTTTTGTTTGACTCTGGAAAAAGAATGATCGGAGAAAGTTTGATTAAAAAACAGAAAAATAATACTTTGATTGGGTGCTGTCGAGCATCAACAAATGGTTGATTATGTGGTTGGAGATGACGATGGTCAGGATTTTTCTAAATTCATGAAATAAGAACTAAATGATTATTTGTAATAATATCGAAAAGTCAATTTCCAAGTGTGATGGCTCTTGATTGGTGATGGGTTCAGATTAAATAATGTCCTTCATTAAACTACGAAAACCGGTTCTGCTGAAGTGATCGTTAATAATTTTTCCGGAATAAATGATGAAAAAAAAATCTTCTATTTTCTACATTCATAAATTCCAAGTAAGAAAAAAAGACATCAAAGATATATGCTTATTGTCAAGTATATTAGGCAAGACAATGTGTAACAGTCAAAAACTTCACAATTATAGGGCTCTAATGACGCTTTAAATCTGTGAATTGACTATTGATAACATCAGTATCAGTGAGAAGAAGAAAACATCTTGGCCATCGAAAAGCTCAAGTCTCTCTCGTTCTAACAGGTATTATATAAATAATATTAATTAGAATAAAATCAAATTTTATGAATTCATAATTTGTTATGTGTTCAAAGCGCAATGGTTCTGTTTTAAAATCATTAGTTTCTATGACAAATAAAATGCAAACACTACATACTCGAGCATTTCCATATAAACTTTCTTCTTCAACAGTTTCAGCTTCTCTATAATCAACTGGAAAATCGATTTTTGTGTCCCGTGTTTCATCTACTTCATGAACACGTTCGCGATGATTCAATCGACCTTTATAGATACCACCATCATCTAAATAATGTAAATTTGATAGAACTATGGAATTACACAGGAGATTCTATTTCTTGTATAATAACCTCGATCAAGATCAGTCTCTTTCGTTGGACCACGTCGATGTTGTTGTGGCTGTGGTTGTGGTTTATTATTAAAAAAATCATAATCTTCTCGAGCAGGACGTCGTCTGAAAATTTATATAAAAATATTTGTTGTTTTTCCTGAATAAATTAGCTGTGAAAATAACTTACTGGCTGGGATTCTCGGTACTTCCATAAGAATTAGCTGTATTTGTATTTGTATACGTATTTGCTCCATCGGATTTTGCATATCTTAATGAAAAAAGAAAAAGAAAACCGATCAAGGAATAAACTCATATGTAAAGTAAAATTGAATTGAAGAAGTCAAAGCATCAACACCATAATTCAAGAAAAAGAAGAAGAAGGATTGAGTTAGCATGATGTTTATTGTCTATACAATTTCGCATATTTGCCACACAATCTGTTGTTGATTAAAAAGAATAACAGCATGGGCAGCAATCGGCAAGATGTATTTATTTTTTTGTTTGATTAGAAAAAAATACCTTTGTTGCATAACAGAGGCTGATTGATGAGCTGAATGATGGGCATCAGGGTGGACGGTCTTCGTCTGTAGTGGAGGTAGTCTCGTTCGAGAAGGTACACTACAAAAGTTTATGATAGGTTTGTCTTCTTTCTTTAACTAACAAAAGACATCTTGTTAGAGAACACAGATGCATAACTTTATTTGGGTTTTAAGAAGAACCGTGATGTTTTATATTTATCTTATAGTGATCGATGAAAATGAATATAAGGCTCTTACTGTTCAGCTTTCGGTGTTATTTTAGCATTGGAGATTTCTAATACTTACTCGGGAGTTTGATAGCTTGACCTAATCAAAGAGATCAATATAACACTTGTACAACTAGTTAGCGATAGTTCGCTCTCGCTTTATTTTTATTTTAGATAGCTTTTATAAATCAGTAACGCCTGTAATTCTCGATACTTACGACTTTCTTGATGCTTTTGGTGAAGCATTTGGACTGATCAACTGTAGATCAGGATACTCAATACGTTTGAAACGTTCTTTACCAGCTGCAACATACATTGCATTATATTCAATCTGTCGTGCTGATGTTACTAGTTCTCCATTCATTGCGTATAATCTTAAAATAAATGGTTTGTTTTATAGAAAAAAAAAACGTTCGATTGTAATTTCATTTTCGCATACTTTAACACGGCAGTATTTGACAACGATACTTTTTTTGTGATTTCATCTAGAACCGATTCCCAACTTTGTAATGTTGATTTTACTAGGAGAACTTTTGCTGGCAATGTCAATGGGTCACCGTTTCGATAGACACTTTAGAGAAAAATGAGATGAATATTGAAATGATAAATGTACAAAAAAAAACCAAATTTAATTCAATTTACTAGATGATAAGATTTTCTGATCGAGATAATTTTAATGCTCGTCCTTCAACATCTACACGTCGAACAGGTGGAAGAAGATGAACCTAGAGAGAAAAAATAGTAGATTAATACAATGAAAAATCAAAGATTTATTCGAATAAAAATTACGAAATTTTTCACCCAAAAAAAAATTGATTACGTATGTTTTTATTTTTACATTCTTCTAAATTCAGTATATAATTTATCGTTCTGTCAGCGACGCTTTCCCAAATACTGCTATTGGTAAATTGAAAAGCTCTTAGTGCAAGTTCTATCGGATTAGATTAAATTATGAAACATGATTTTATTACTGTTTTTAATTTTTAAGTTTATCTCTTTTGAAAATTCATTTCTTCATGAACTTTTTACTTCATCCTATAGAAATAGCTAGATGCCATGTTTTATATTTTCTAGCGAGATGTTGTTAACATGCGATCAAACATCGTATATCAATAATATCTGTCATGCTTGTGAAATACATCGAAACGGAAATGTTGCTAAGGGTGTGTCACAGCTTGTGATATTACCATAGCTACAACTGTTGTGATTGATCTTAGTGGTTTCTGATTGTTCATTTCTATATATTAAACACATTTCTTGAAAGTTTTATGGCACGAAAAGCATGAAAAAACTGTGCACTTGTACATGTAAAATATTAAACGGATTCTAATCAATATAAATATTTGAACGTATCAATGAAGGTCAATTTAAATAAATTTAATTCGATATGTATATTCTCATATGAACTTACTTTAGGCGACGATTGTCCTTTACTTGACACACGTTTGCCTTCTGCTATATCAAGATAACTGAAAAGTACATAATAGAATTTCTTTAAATATCAATTTTAGTAAGTAAATATTTACTGAAGTTTCTTAAATTTTTCTCCACCAGCTGCCACATAGGTTCGATGATCTTCAAAATCTGATATATCTTGCAATTGAGTTCCATGTTTTGGAGTATAGATACACCTAACAGCTCCAAAATTAGCACGCAGTGTTCGTGATGCATCATCCAAGAATACGTCTAGCATTGGATATTTTTTTTGGTTAATAACGAAATTTCTGCCAGTAAAAAATGAATCTCCATTTCTCATTAATCGAATAGCTCGACCACGCTCAAGTATTGTTGAACGTGCTTGTGATTGTTGTTGATCACGTGGATCGTATGCTTGTTGATCTTGTTGTTGGTATCCACGTTGGTCATATTGTTGATAACCACGTTGATCACGCTGTTGATATCCACTGTTGCTGGGTGGTTGATATCCATTGTTGACGGGCGGTTGATATCCGCTGTGGCTGGGTGGCTGATATCCATTGTTGATAGGCGGTTGATATCCACTGTGGCTGGACGGTTGATATCCATTGTTGATGGGCGGTTGATATCCATTGTTGATGGGCGGTTGATATCCACTGTGGCTGGGTGATTGATAGTCATTTTGGCCGTGTTTTTGGTATCCATGTTGACCATGCTGTTGATCGTACTCGGCCATCATTTTTAATTAGAGGAATTCGAATAAAAATATAAAGGAAACAATAATAAAATTACGAATCCAAACAAGAAAAAAGATCAATTTTCGATATTGAATGTACGAATAAATTCATTGTCGTTATCGTCATTGCTATGCATTAATCTGAAACATCAAAAAGAAATGAATGAATAAAAGAAATTTCTCGTGTTTTCAATAGGTTTCATTTAATCATCCATCGTCATATTATGGTGAAAGGGATTACTTTTTAAAACAAAAAAAAATAGTAAAATAAAGATATTTTATAATTATTTTCTGTTGTGTTTATTACAAATATGTGCATTTGAAATTTGAAGTCTATTCAGTTAATTTCATGTGAAAGAACTTTTTCATTAAAAAGAACATTTGTACGGTTGCCAAATCAATGTTTTTCAAATAGTATGACTACCAATGCTGTGAATCGATGGATAGATGCGATATAGAGAACAAAAAAAAATCACCAATCTCCACCTGTAAATGTATTTCCGATCAAATTTCTTCAGATGAAGAGCTGAATTCTATGTATGTATGTTGCTAATGAAATCTCTTTCGACAAATATTTATAATCGGTGAGTGGCAAATATTTTAAACTTTCAACTAATGTAGATCAAGAGAGGAAATGATCAATTACGATCTTTCACTGAGAAAACTTGAAGATGTGAATGATTTCAAGAGTTACTTTGTACTTTTCTCTTTGACGTAGAAGTTGACTTATTAGAACCTTGATAAAACGATCAATTTTCTTTTTTTGTATAACAATTATGGATTTCATTCTAGTTTTTTTTATTTCTTGCACTTCTTCTCTCTTTGACTTTTACAGACAACATCTCGAAATATGTCTGTCACCTCTCTTTCTTCGAGACGCAGTAGCGCATCGATTCAGTTTCATAGCGACAGACTCCGTAAACTACGCTTGCAAAAATACAACGCTCTCCTTTTCAAGCGTTAAGAGAACGTCTTGAGAGAGCAACTCTAGAAAAAAAGAATATGTTTAGTGCGTTTGCGACTGGTTGTTGCCAAGGGAAAGGAAAGAGGACAATAAACGATATGTCGACGATGACAACAATCATACCATCATTACCATTATGCCTGTTGTTTAATTTTCCAATAAAGAAAAGAAAAAAAAGTTCATAATGAATTACAAACATACATAATATCAACTATTACTAATTAGTTATTCATATCAAATAAGAGCTTTAATTCTTATTAATAAAACTAAATTTAACTCAGGCAATGAAGGATTCAGAAAACTTATACTTGAAAACGATGATGATGATGAATCAAAAAAATGAAATAATCATAAATAAAGCGTTTTCAATGCTGAAAAAACTCATGTCTCAAAGAGAGAGAAAAAAGAGAATTCTGAAATAAGAAAACATGAAATGAACACGCTTAGCCTTGAGGGGGCGGCTTTTATTTTACTTACTGCTCTTTTTTTTCTTATTGGAAAAATGGATTTACCATTGTACAAGTCTCTAAAGCACTCGAATACGTGCTAACCTATAAGATCTATTTCCATATGAATTAAAAATTTTCGTATATTACAAATCAAGGCTTTGTTTTAAATTAATTATAAGCTTACCTGACTTGCATATTAACTAGGAAAAAAGTGTTCGTTCAATTATAAGAGATCTAAGTCAATTCTATGAACAAAACATCTAAGAAATACATGTTCGATAAACATTTAACTTCAAGAAGAAGTGAGTGTCTGTTTTAGATGACTCGTCTAGTTTACGCAAATGTCGCAATGAAGATTTGTTGCACTTCATCATGTCGCTCGCCTCTCTTATGCGCGGAACGATTCTGAACAAAAGACACTAATAGAATTTTCACTTTTTTTTCCTTTTTTTCCTGCTTCTTTTTCTTTTTATTCTTCTTTTCATTTCATAGCGTGTGGGCTTATATTTATCTTTTCTGTTGATTTTCTAATTTTGAGATGTTTAGAAAACGACAACACGAAGCGATCTTCATCAATCAGAACTACTGAATAGATTTCTTCATTGACACTAATTTAAAAACAGCGGCAATCATCGTTATACATAGTCAGTAAAATTTACATAAGAAATGATAATGAAAACACGAGAAAAAAGTGCTCAGTAAGCAAATTACTCTTCACATTCGAACCGTATTTTTATTTGAATGGACTTAATTTACGCACAAAATAGAACGACCGTTCTCACTTATTCTTCAGTATATAATCACTTTGCAAGTTCATGTTGATAAAAATAGACTCCTCATATCGTTACTTACAAGTATGCAAAAATAATCAAAATAAAATAAAAACGATGCTTAATTCTATTTTCAAAATTCAAACTAACGGCTTTGTTTCGATTTATGATTACCTGTGCCATTTGACCATTAAGTTAACTAATGAAAATGCATGATGAATAGTGATCTAATATCTTAATTTACATACAGGTCATATCGTCACTACAACAACATCGACCAATTATTTTTCATGTATATTTTTACCATTTTTTCCCTTGTAACCATCATGTCACAAATGACAACCGAAAAGACAACATTCTTTACAAGCCTCTCCGAAAAGAAAACATTTTTCAACATCTATACGTGCGCTTTGTATATTCTCTGCTCGTTTTTTCTTCGTTTTTCTCCACCTGTCACCTCCATTATTATGTAAAAATTACTCGAAAAGGCTTGCATCTACTCCGAAAATAGTTGTTCTGTATAAGTGTCTCTCAGAATACAAGAAAAAAAGTCTTTTGTAAAAAAAAATGTCTGAGATGTAACCAAAGAAAAAATACATATGGTATCATTTATGATTGCCGATCATATGACATATAAAGTAAACTTGTTCTGTTCTCTTTTGAACTGATCCTAAATGTTTATAGAGGCGATGCATGAAAACATAGCTATTTGTTATTAGTTACAAAGAATAGAATCGATAGTTTTGGATTGTTGAAGAAGACCTTCATAAATATTTTACTAATAGTTTAATAATACTTTAATCTAGTTTTCGCATTGTTTTGGTATGGATTCTTTTAAAAGTGCATTGTTCAAACAAAACAGAAAGAAGGATCCGCCCCTGTGAAACAAATCTTTACAGAATTACGTCAAATCAAAGTTTTTTCTCAATATCTCTACAAATCGATTCCGATAGACTTCTATTTCGACTGAAAAAAATGATTAGAAATCAATTTATGAATTTACAAAGTTGTCAAACACATCCACATAATAGTCAAGTCCATCAGTTAAACAATTTCGTAGAAAAGAAATATGAAAAATCGATAGTTTCTAGAACAATTAGCATGTTGCAAGAATACCGTTGAGAGTCATTTATGTTTAATATTAAATTTAATATAACAATCATGTTCTACGCATAATTTCGAAGGTCAATATTCGCAAAGGAAAATTCGTCACTTATAACCATTGGAATTAGAATACATATCATGCAAAGAAAACAATTTGTAGTGTCGACTTGCACAATACGAGATGACATAACTGCAAGACATTGAAAATATTAAGGCGTAATAATGAGTCTTTTATGAAATCATGAAAATGTAATAGTTACGGTTAGTTTGACATTTCAGCACTCTTGAAAGCTTTTAGAATTTTAATATTCATCAAAATTAAAGCATACATCTCTTTTACCTATTAGTTATTCTGACAAGATGAAATTTCATAACGGCTGTGCCGATTTAATCAGAAAAATCATACAACGAGCCATTGAACTTCAATTTACGCTGCTCATGGACTTTTGTTTTAAAAACAACTTTTTCGATGAGTTGTGCTTCTATGAAATGTTCTTTGAGGAACACGTTGATTGTTTTCTTTTAGTCAAGGTTTTAGTTACAATCATGAACATCATTTGTTAACGAAAAAAGGGAGCAACAACAATAAATTTCATGTCACCAACTAAAATAATATCATCCTTTAGCCAACAAAATCCGCAAGTCTTGTCCCGGAATTTCAAAATTTTCTTTTTCTTAATAAACAGTTATTATCATTATGCAAATTTAAGTTATTCCCATTGTTCGCTCTTTTATATTTACTCGTTCTACATTTCATCAATGTTTGAATACAATAAAAGATCAAATGATAGTTTTTGGTGAATGAAAATTTCCTATTGATATTGTGTGATCCTTCAACGGAATTTTATATTTTATTTAAGATTGATTCTGTTACTAGACAATCAAAAACCCGAAGGGTCAAAGCTTGCGATCGTCTTAAAAGAAACAAAATAGATGAAATTCGACTACCAATGATTTTTTTTCTTATTAAAATGATACTACCATAATTGATTCGTTGATTTCTCAATCGATTCTATACAGCTATTTAATCTGAATCTAATTTGAACCACTGAAAATAGCTTCTAAAGAAGCACTTTTTAATTAATTCAAATTTATTCATCGATGGAAATTCGATTAACTGTGACTATTAACCAGAAAAATATACTTTAACCGATTCCAGTCGATTTTATTAACATTTTGGTTTATTTGCATAAATTTCAATTGACATTTATATTTCGAAGTGTAATTTATTTGTAAAAGATTATTCAAGTGTACTACTTATAATTTATTGTGACAATGTATGCGACAAATAACAAGCGAAAATTTGAGTTTTAAAATTGCAACAAAAAGAAAGTTCTGTTTTTATAGTCATTAAATAAAATATTAATAATAAAAAGAAAAAACCTCGTCAATTTTATTTATCAGAAGTCTTATAACTTGCTTTAAATAGTATCATTATAGGAGATTTTCGATGAGAACGAAAGTTTTAAATCATGCTTCCCTTTCATGGATGGCGTATAAACGCCCATCACAAAAATCGGATGAGCGCAGTGCACTAGAAGCTCTATGGCAACGGATTGCTTGTCTCAATGACTACTTTACTGCTTATTTTTCTTCTATCGAATAATCTGCAAAAAAAAGTAAATTCATATGCAATAAAAAGAAGATTATTGAAATGCATTTTTTTCTTCTTCGTGCAATCAAAGAACAGTAAATCGTTCGTCTCTGTAAAAGAAACATATCTATCTTGATTTTTTCAATTGAACAAAGGAAAATCAATACATACTTACGTAACTAAATCTGTTGATTTCGAATATTTGTCTCTTTATAATAAAAGCAAATTTGTCTTTTGTACTACAAGGCAATAATTGTTTTTTTTTTCATAATCATACATATCGGATTGATTTTAACATTATAGAAAAAGATCATATATATATATATATATTTACCATTAGCTATCCTTTATTCTTTTGTTATATACTGAACAAATATAATCCGAATAAACAAAACAAAACCGCTCTCGGCAGACACCCTTGCTTTCTATAATGTGGTGTGCATGCATGAAAGACAATAAACATAATGAACAAGTAAACAAAGCAATAAACCAACAAGAGAAAAAGAGTAAATAAAATGAACAAAAGCAAATTATACAAGTAAGACAAATATGAAAAAGAAAACAAACATATCATGTTTCAACAGATATATTCTCATAAGTAAAGAAGAGAAAGATAAGATTTGTGTACAATTAAACGAGTATTTGATTTTTTAAATTTCTATTTGTCTAAGTGATCACTGTTCTGCTCGATTAATAATAGAACTAGGTGTATATCCTAGGTCTTTAGATAATTCATCAATTAATAATGGATCAAGCGAAAAAAGATCATATGTAAACATTCCATTAGTCGTTTTCATAGATGTATCAACTAAATTATGCCGTTTAAAAAATGTTACAAATATAGTTAAATCATTTGTAGAATTTAACGTAAAACGATTATAAATATAGATTAATTTTGTTCGTAAATCATCATCAGTTAAAACAGTAGGTAAATCATCATCATCATCGTCATCATCTGTTGATAAATGACTATCATCATTGCTTTCGTTTGTATCTGATAATGAATATGAATGATCCGAATGAAAATTTCGATTTGTTAAAATTTTTCTTGGTTCATTTGCTATAAATGTTGAAGATGATGGAGATATTTGATCATGCTCATGGGATTGTAATAGTTGACGACGAGCATTTATATCATCGTCACTTTCTCCGTCGATATCCATTTCTGCTTGTGTGTGGTCATCTTCATTTTGAAATACGTGCGTTGACGGCGAACAAGTTGTTGATGCTACATTTGATGGTTCAACACTGTCGGATCGAGATTGCGGTGTATCTATAGACGATGTTGACGGTAATACTGATGAGATGTCATTTGAAAATGATGGAAGATGATCAATTTGAGTTTGAGCAGATCGAGAAGGACTTCGAGTTGATTTTGATGGCGTTGGTGTACGACGATTATGATAATGAGATGAAGATGACGATGAAGCGGAAGACGAAGACGAAGAGAGTTTTGATGTAGATGATGGATAAGAATGAGGTGATTTATGACGGTTTGATCGATCTTTTTGCTGTGATGAATGTCGAGATGAGCTGGGAGAATGAGTTGAGCGACTATCATGATAACTTTGATGACTGGAACGATTACGTGAACGTGATCGAGAACGACTTCGTGAACGAGAACGATCTAATGAAATATATAATACATTTATAGAATAGAAGGATGACACTCTTCATATGTAGGTGGTCATCATTCGGTGAGTACATATTATAGATAAATAGTGTAAATTTTATCTCTTAATTGATCCTTTCATTCTCGAATATCGACTCATGTAAAGATCGAAAGATTCGTTCTCATAATTTTACTAAAATATTTTAATTTCGAGCACCATATTTATGAAACAATTGACGTACAAAAAATTCAAACTGAAATTTTTACTAATACTTAGGTCGGATCACCATTGGAATCTTCAGAAATGGTTAGATTGATCAGATGTACTATTAGCGAGATATGAAACATTAAAAGCACTCATTTAATATTGGTTTTGTTATCAAAATCTTAATTCGATTGGATAGTCTCAAGTCGGGTACAGTCTATAGTCAGTTATTTCTAATTAATTTATATAGCCTACCTCTATGATTGCTACTATGTTTCCCTGAACGATTACTACTGCTACTGTTTCGATTGCTATTACAATGGCTCGTTGATGATGCAAGTGTTGTTGCTTTTGGATGGTCATTTATTGAACTTGTTTGATTTTTAGATGATGAAGATTGATGTCGACGAGAATCCTTGATAACAAAAACAAAATAAACACATATGAAACTTAAATAGGATATTTTCTTTATGGAATATTACTCGATCGGAACTTTTATGTGAAGGTGGAGGAGTCATTGGAGAACGTACACGTTTTTTCCCAATGATTGGCGGAGGAGGCGGAGGGGGCGGCGGTGCAACTTTTTTTGGAATTTTTTTTAGGCTACTAATTAAAACTGTTGAAGTTGTACTGTTCGATGAAGTAACATTGGGTGATGATTCTCGTTTTATTGGAATATTTGAAGGAGATTTGTTTGTAGATGTGGGTTCAATTTTAACGGAAGGTTTTTGAGACGATTTATTCGCTGGAATAGTTATTGGTTTTTTTAATGGAATTTGTGTATTTATTTTTGATGGTGAAGGTATTGGTTCTTTTTTTTTAACTATTACAGTTGTAGATGGTTGTATTGACGGTTTTATATCGTGATCTGGCTTGACTTTAGGTGATGGACGAGCTTTTGTTAATGTAGAATCTAAATGAAATAATTTTTTATTTCAAAAAATGAAATATATATATAAAAGACTCTCTTACCATCAGCAGATCCATGACTATTGGATGTTGAAGATACTGTTTGATTAGAATCTTTGATTGGTAAAGTTTTAGTTGGTTTTTCTTCAACAGCTGATGACTGTTTAATAGATGATAATTGAGCTTTCTTATTATTAATATTATTCACTGTTGTTTTACTCAAATTTTCATTCTTAATCACTGACTGTTGGGGTTTTTTCTTGGAATTAGTTACTGATGATTGTTCAACTTTGATCTTTTTATTATTAGTAGAATTGACTATTGGTGCTGGTGAAAATGGTCGTTTTTGCGGTGAAGAAGGGCGAGAAACTGGTTCAGGCGGTGGTGGCGGCGGCGTTGAGGTTGTCTCTTCTTCAGCATCACTCTCACCATTATCATTGTTTGATATTGACCCATTATCGCTAATTTTCTATACGAAAATAAATTACAATTACTAGATGAATTCAGTGATTTGAAAAAAAGTTGTTAAATTGAATATTATTCTATTCGATTGTTTCTTGTCAGATTTTTATGCATGGAATTAATGATAAGACAGTCATTTAGCCTATGGAATATGTATGCTAAGATAAAAAAAAGCAGAGCTCAAGGACACATGAATTTTATTGTGCAATGCCTGATTTCGACGATTCTTTTTTTTTTGAGTTATCCTATGAGAAGAAGCCATTCAAACAGATCTATGAATCTCCACTATTCTTTTTGTAGATGACAATCGAAGATAGTAGATGAAATGTAAAGGTGTGAATTTTTACTCTGCCACTCCTCCCAATGACATGTTAGATACGGCTTATCATCGATCGTAACAGGCGTACCCATGTAAAACACACAGACCGTAACAAAAGTTATTGACTAATGATCAGAGACTGTATGTCAATAGCGCTGTATTGCAATTAATGAGGTACTTCCCCGTCGTATCCTGTCAAGTAAAAGAATACCAAAGGAAATCATCTGCCCACATAGGATACAATAAAATGAAATCGGTATAATTAAAATAACTGTAACATTGAGCTTCACATTTTTATTTTTTACAAATCGACGTAGAAGTTTTTTATTTATTCATCGACTGATTAATCAAAAGTAAACATAAAAATAAAAAAAGTGTATTGATTTTCAAAAATCATGTATAATTAAAATATTATTAATTTCAGTTTTAACTGAAAAATAGAACGGCATTGGTGATATTTAAAAGTGGCAAACTTCTAAATATTGATTTCTACAGTTTCTATCGTTTTACTATAATCTTAAAAATTCTAATTCATTATCACATGTACCAATAATTGTACTATATAGAAACAACACATGAATCATCTACATTAACACTATGGCAATCATCAAAATTTGAACTCTCATCGTCACGAGTCAATGATTAATGTTATTCCTGCATATTCCAGTAGATCTCCTTTATTGGCGACTGAACAATAGCATATTTATTAACCGTTTTCTTATTTTCAAACTATTTAAAGCTCTCTTGTTTTTATCCTCTCTGATAATATTTTTTTTCTTTCTACAAAGAAAATAGATTCCCGTCGTACATAGATAAGCTATTACTTACTGTTCTATTCTTTGTTAACTTCTTTTCTCCCATATGTATAATTCAGACAGTAGTTCAACGACAAAAGAAAGGTCAAAAAGATTTAAACGAAGAGCTTTTTGTTTTTTCATTCGACTTGAGTCTTCTGATTGATAAAGATTTTGCTCAATCTATTTGTTTTTCTCAATTAAAAATCGTGAATTCGTTTCTAGAATTTGGGACAGTTCTAGTTTATTGTGAAACTGTCAATACACACAGAACATAGCACTATGTCAACATATAACATATGATTATTAATCAATACGTTTGAGCTAACGTAAGTCTGACGAAGTTGTTTTTATCTGTAGGACGAAAAATAAGAAGTATTAGGCTTTGCTAAGAATAGTTTTCATGTCTTGAGAAGCTCGATAATGTCAATGATAAAAAGAATAATTTGCTTACTCCACCAGCAGCTAAGATTTTTTGTCGTAGTTCCGGATCAGGATTGTAAAACGTACATCGATATTTACGTACGTAACTTTCTTTTTGTCTATATGGATGACCATCCACATTAGTATGTAAATCAAGATCATATTCAATACGAAACTTTTTCTGATCTTTTCTTGTTTTAAAAAAAATTTCAATTGGCTAAAAACAAAACGAAATTTATTGTAAAACTAGAAAGCAAATATTTCACTATTACCAAATGAAAACCAGCATAACCAGTTTCTTTAATATAAAATGGTGTTGATTTAAATTCTAAAGAAAATTTATACATGAATTTACTCTATTCAGTAATTAAATTTTTTTAACCTCGTTTACTATCGGGAAATTCTGGATGAAGATGAAATATACAACGTTGAATAAGACAATTTAGATCGCCATGAACATCAGCAGACCGTAAATAAACTGTCCAATCATGAGTACGCGGTGGATTATGAATGGTTGTGGGTTCTGGTCGAATTATTGATACGTGTCCAACTTCAAAGTCGATTTCGAGAATCTATTTACGTATGGATTATTGAGAAAAAAAATAGACACGTACATTTAAAGATTGATAACAAACCTCGTTGATATCATTACGATCGGTCATTGTATATATTTTTAGTTTTCCCGATCTAAAATCATATTTTGATAATATTGAGCATTGACAATTGTTTATTGTTGAAAGAAAAGAGCAGGAAGGCAAATGACAGAAAGAAAAAATGAAGAAGCATAAGCATATGATCCCATCCATACAGTTGAGTATAAATGATGGATATCCAATGATTTTTTCCTAAATTACGCTTTTATTCATTAGAATAACCAAAAATAATCGCTTTTAATTTAATCTCTGTTTTGTATTTCAAACGAACTTTTATAATAGTATTTATTAACAGTATAATTTATTCAATTCATTCGATTTGTGCTGACATCTTGTTTCATTTTGGCAATGTGCGACATGAAACAGAATTAAAAAAAGAACAAATGTCAAATCAGTAGAAAAGAAATAATGGATGAGATGAGACTTTGTAGGAGTTTTTTGTCCTAGGGAACTGTAGGCTTATGTTCAATGGAATTTTCTTAGTTATTTGTAAACTCAATCGAATGAATAAAATTTAAAATCTACAAAATAGAGTCGTCGTACCACGACTCGTGTTAAGCGAAAACAATCTTAACAATAACATCTCGTTCTAGATATATCAACTGCTTACCTATTGTATTCTGAAGGATTAAATAAATGAAGAGCGAAGAAATATGTCCTAAAATGGATGAGACTAAAAGATATTAATTTAAATAGCAACAACAATTGGTTTGAGTTTCACTTTCCTTTTGTCTTACGAGTCAGAGTGATAACGCTTACAACTTCTTTTTTTTTTGTTTCAACTTGGTTTCTTCAATCATTTTTCCAAAAAGACAAGAACAAATATGACGAATTTGTCAAATATTTCGCATAGGTTTTAGATTTTTAATACCGACAGTTCAAATTTTTAGGGAACTTCTCATTGATTCGAAGCGAAAATCTTTCTCTATGAAAAAAGAAATGTTTACACAGTAGAAGCAAGTGCTGTTAACCCCCTTCTTTTGGTTGAATTTTGATCAACGAATTCCTAGTTTATTTTTCAAGAATTTTTCGTCCAACTTCTTGCACTGTTTTGATTCTTTTTTACATGACGCCGAGAAAATACAGTGAAATAAAAGCGAAAAATTGTCTTTCGCAAGCAAAAAGCATTGGCAGTTGAGTATGTTTTTTTAGGAATGGAGGAGTAAAATAAGAGAACAGCAAATCCATTCAAGAAAGCTTTTGTTGATTCTATGAAAAAGATATGCTAGCAATGCGAATGAAATTAAAGCCTACTGCTACATCGTCCGACTGTTGAAAGATGATAATCATAAAATATTGGTGTGAGTTTGGATGAGAGACGAAAAATAATTTGCTCAAATTCGAAAATATACGCATGCTCAGTGACTTTAACTTTCATTGGCATGTAATAGTACTTTTGAGTAGAAAGAGACCATACAATTTTTCTCAATCAATTTTTATAGTAGATGAAGGTGTTGATAAGGTATCTGTCACAATATGTGGAGAAAAACGGAAAGTGCAAATGTCACTATTTATAATACTTCAACGCTAGTTGTGATTCTTCGATATTTGTGATAGAGTCCATGAGAATTTTAAAGCATTATTACATATTATGCAGAATATTAAACGTTACTCGGCTTATGTAAACACTAATTGATCAGTAAAAAGTCTCAATTGTTCGATATGAATCAAGTCATGAGAATAAAGAATGTAAGACAAGTAATTAGGTCGAAAAAGTCATACTGACGTAACGAATGAAGAATATATTATGTCTTGTATCTATAAGAATCAAAATACACCGGTCATTATCGATCAGTCGGTTATTGTCGGACGGGTTATATTTCCGATGTTACATGGTGACCGGATTCGGTCGGTTAATTTCTGGTGATTTCCGATTGTTTTCTTATGAAATCTGGTTACCGAATTCTCCAAGAACCGGCCAGATTTACATTGCCAGAAAATATCAGGTCAGATGATACGATTAGGCCGTATACGATGTGATCTGACAATATCCGAGAACAAAATTTTACCGAAATCCGCCGTGCCACATAACGTTCGATTTCATGGTAGATTCGGCTTAATCAGTATTACCGGAACCAATCGAACCATATCAGAACGGAACGGTCCTACTCACCGGATTAAGCCACTTACTACAACACAGATCCGACCGAAAACATCTGCAACTAATTACCAGATACTAAAGGAAAATCCTGTGATCGATTCCGACCGTTAGTTAACAGCTCATACAAGCGATGAAAAGCATGAATTAAAAATTATGGATCATCCAATAGGTTATTTATGACGAGTCAATCCACATGAGCAACATGATTATGTATTTATTGATGCTGAGCGAAGTTATCGACCCAAATGAATCTCACTCAAGTCGTTTATCATTACTCCTGCTAATATAACCTGATTCCACGATCGACTCCTGGTCTAACACGAAATCCAAAGCCATTTATGATTATCCAGGATGAAATAAACTTGCTATATATGCATACTATGTTGTTCGTCCATGCAACTTGGCAAAATTTAAAACGTCTGACACCCCATGTCGTCTCTTTTTTATCAACTGTGCCGCAGTTACGCGCAGAGCCAATTCTGCGTCGGAGTTACGCGTAACTATGGCGCATTGATCGTAGTGGAGATTCTATAAGAAACTACGCGTACTGTGATGAAGATCAACGTAACTGCGCTCTAGTGATCGCATTTTACGATTCCTTGTAGGTATAAATGGCCAATTATAAATTATTCCTTCTTATTTGTAATTGGCTACACTCTAACAATAAAATACAGTCACAGAAAATCAGTATAAATAGCAGTGCTCGTCACATTTTCTT